CGACAATTTTTGATAATTATTTTATCGCAATAAATACTCATAAAACCTTCAATTCAAAATTTGGTAATTATACCCGATTTTCTGTTGCATATTTTAATTTACATTTACATATCTAGGATATCAATCATGAAAGATTCCAACAAATTGCTAGTCTTAATGAACGTCGGTAATTAGAAAACGAAAGAAAACAATACCAGTAATGAGGTCAATTTAAATTGAACCCTGTTGTAGCCAAATCAATAAATGTTCATTTATACGACGTAGAAATATTTGAATCAATTACTTAAATAGATCGTCTGATAAAAAATTTACCATACTATTTGGTGAAAATAAAAATTGGAAATTCAATCTGTCGATACTAAAATTGATTTAGAAAAAACGTAGGAGATTCTACACCTAAAATGTTAGTGAAATTGCTTTATAATAAAATAAAAAGTGAATTTTAACCCCAAAAACTGAGCTTGTTCAGGGAAAGGGACGGCTATTTATATTATTTGCCGTGGCACTCCAATGATGTTCATAAGTTTTTTAGCTCGAAAGTAGTTAGTCTAGCGCCGTGTTATTCTGTTACCAAGCATTCAGGAGTCAAAAACGACGGTAGTTCCAATCCTCGATTCAACAATGTTAATTTGCAAGGATCGTTGCAGGATTTAATCCATATTCATTAGCTGTAAGTCACCCTTAAGCTTAATGGTGAATAACAAAATTGTAGGAAGATTATTATTATTACTATTCATTAAAGTACAGTCTGTTTGCTATACTTACGCGGGTTTCGGATTAACAAAATTATGCAAATTAGTCATTGACAACCATTAGGTAAAATTGCCCTAATGGTCAGATTTAAATTAAAATAACATTAGGGTAGGTACTAAATTTGTTACAAATATTGCAGTTGAATTGATTATTGGACATTTTAAAAATGCCTAGACGTGTGTTAGATGTATGCGTATGCGATGCTCTAGGAATTAGTGAAACCAAAGTAAGAGAACTATTACAAAATCACAATAGTGAACTGCCGAAAGAAGATCACTGCAAAACTCGCCCATCATTGAAAACGAAAGATATTCCAGATGGAGAGAAATTTGAAATTCGTGATACCATTTATCGAATGAGGGCCAACAAGGAACATGTGACCTTAAATAAAATTCTCTCGGAATTAATAGATAGAAAATTTGACGACATTGGCAGAACAAGTCTATGGCAAGTGATACATATCTTGGGTTTCAAATTTCAAAAGGAGGATAACAGAAAGGCCCTTTGTGAAAGAAGTTCTGTCGTGCACAAGAGAATTAACTTTCTAAGAAAACATTCTAAATTTAAAGAAGAAGGGGCGAATTTTATTTATTTAGACGAAACATGGATATTTTCTAGGTGTGCAACCAAGAGAATATGGCAAGATGATAACGTAAAAACCATCAAACATACCGATGGAGAAGGGAAGCGACACATAATTTTACATGCAAGAGGGAAATCGTGTTTTATAGAAGGTGCTGATTTAATATTTTCATCTAAATCAAAATCCAGTGACTATCACGATAATATGAACACAGAAATGTTTGTAAAATGGTTGCATGAAAAACTTCTCCCAGGTTTAAGTGAGCCCAGCGTAATTATTTTAGACAATGCACCTTACCATTCTGAAGTATTAAACAAAAGTCCAACGAATTCTTGGACTGTTGATACAATTAAAGAATGGTTGACAAAGGAACATATACCATTTCCTCAATATATATATTAAATCAGAATTATTACGCTTGGTAAATATACACGCAAAACCAAAAGCCTTTGTTGTGGATCAGATTATTTACGTCTGCCACTGTATCATTGCCAGTTTAATCCCATCGAATATATATGGGGAATAGCAAAACAATATTATGACAACCATATTGGGCATAATGTTTATAGTGACGACGCAGTTCGGGAAACTTGCCGAAAACTCCATAAATGTGGCGGAACTGTATATCCAAGTGCGAGAAACTAATAGAAGATTGGTGGACTCGTGAAAATAAAATAAACGAAATAAGTCCAATCATAATAACAATTAATGGTGATGACAGTGATGATGATGATGATGACGATTATGATATTTTGGATGATAATGACTGATTTTCATTTTTGTTGGCAAGTTCAATTTTTTTATTTTTCATTTGAAATTCTCTACATGGAACAAATTATTATGTTAGAAAATATTTTATTTGAGCTAAATAACTCTCTTATTATACTGCCGTCCTAAAAATAGATGGGTTCGTGGAAAGTTAAATTAACTTTTTACCAAGCAGAAATGCTGTATAGGTTTCCAAAATATTAAAAATTCAACATATTAATTAGCCAGCTCTGAATACTTAAGGGCTAAGGAAATAACTTTAAATCCCATTTTCTTCGCTTATCGCTCCCAGTAGATACGGCATTTGTTTGTAGGACGGCAGTATACATAGACCATATTTTCTGTGTGAAGTGTAATATAAAATTATTATTAGGTTTATAATAGCCACATTAGACTAGATTATTATTTAATTAAAAAGTTGTACATTATTTTTCATTTCATTTAACCAGTTGATATTTCCCCAAAGAACAGGTCAAACTTTCGGGTACTTACCTGGAAATACTCATAAAATTTTTAATCCGAAACTCGCGTAAGACTGTATGTAGGGTACTTAGCATCTGTCGCGAATCTGCTTAGATTTCAACCGTCGCCCTTACAAGCTTCATTTTAGGTGAAACCAGGGTCAAGATAGGACAATGAACAATCGTCCCGTTTTGTAAAATAACATTCCCTGCAAAAAATTGTCTATTTGCCCGAAACTTTAACCGTAATTGAAACGTCAGTTGACGCCAATAGAAAGATATAGAGAAGCTACGAAAGTGTACTGGATGTTATGTAAAAGAAAGTAAAAAAAACATTGTTTTTATGCCCACGTAACATCCAATTTTATTGTTAATATATTATACAGTTACACTCAAGGAGATAATAATATGTACAGTTACATTTTAAAGAGAGGTTCAGTTTGTCAGGTAAATTTAATCCGTTTGATGTATTGATTATTCATATATCAACCAACCCTAGAAAAACCCGAGCAAGTTCCGCAGTCCAGTGACTCATACGTGTTCGATATACTGTAATGGGATTTTAAGGAGGAACACATTCCAATAAACGTGCATTATATTGTAATTGGGAGTTTATTTACTCATTTTTATGACTACTGAAAACTGTCCAATTTCTGTCGTCAGCTCATCGTCTATAGATTAGATTTCCAAGGGCGGTTCCAAGACAAATTTTCGGGGGGAGGGAGGGGGGCATTTTTGAATAAAAAGCTCATATATCGAAAGAATTTTCATCTCAGGTAGGGCATGGCCCCTATAGTTCCCACCCCCTTGAAACCGCCCTTGTTTCATCTTAACCCACTACGGGATATAAGGTTTGTTCCAACAACGATCTTGGAACAATACATAAACCAGTCCAAAACTTATTGTTGACAATCTGTCGATGACTAGTAATTGACAACTTGTCAGGTACTGGTCGGGGATTGGGACTCAACTCGGAAGTCGATTATGTTGGAACACATTTTTTAAATTCAACAGACGCATTATTACAATAATAAACCACAAAATAAAATAAATGATCATGAGCAAAAACTATGAAGAGTAAACTCGATTAACAAATACAAATCAGAACTGTCAGAGACAATAGTTACAAATAATATAATTACAATCACGATATGTTCAGATTATTGCGGCTTTGCGCATGTCTTGACAATTCGTTCCTATTCAGACCCAGGAACTGATTTGACAGTACACAAATCGGTTTGTGATTAGTTTTGGTTGTGTTGGAACACTATGTATTTGTACAGTTTCGAGTCTAAGGTTTGTTGGAACATAAATTATAGACTGCGCAGAATCCCGACAGTACGCAAACTGTTTTGGTTTATGTTGGAACAAACCTATAATAAATTTAATATGCAGTTTACAAGATACGTCTGTAGGTGAAAAGATGGTGGTTGGGCCATGTTCAAATTAAAGAAGAATACCTCATTCAGAAAGCTATATGGATGTAGGGTAGAGGAAGAACCAAGGGTGGCATGTTAAGGAAAATGGACTGGTATACTGTTAATCTTGCTATGAAGATAAGTGAACTGAAACGGATTATAAACATGGATTATAAAAGTACACCACATACCTAACGGAAAAAGTCGAGAAAATACTTTTAAAAGCGATTTGTTCGAACTTCCTTCATACAGACATGACCTCGTATTTTGCCCATTTTTCAAATTCAAACGAAATTTTTTTGGTTTCGAAATTTATTTCAGGGTCCCATGACAGAAACGCCAATCGAAATAAAAAAACATTAAGGAAAATCGTATCAAACAAGTCTATAAAACGAATAAGTAGAAAAGTAACTAAAAGAATAATAAAAAAATGTAGCAAAAAAAAGGGCGGGAGGCTAGAATATGAAAGAAAATAGGTAGTACAAAAAAGAAGAAAAACAGTACAAGAACTAAAACAAAAAGAACAAAATAGAAGACTGGAAAAATAGAACAATAATCCAAATCGGGGGCGCTGTAATGACATAAATCGCAACATAAAGAAAACATTTTAGCGGATGCAAAAAAAACATTAAAGAAAAGCACGTTTAAAAGCAATTAAATTAATAAGATATTTTTTATTGAAACACTCAGTTTACATTTTTTTTAAATACATATTTTTTTACGATATGTCAACAACAATGCATCTCTTATCAATAAGAGTTATCATTATTTGTAGATAAAAGGAACATAATATTTATTGTTTACCTACTTAAGAATGCACGCTAGGAGTTTTCGTAACAACATAACAATAAAGGAAATCTATTTTTACACTTTTATTCCACCAAAAAAGCTTCTTCAGCCACGACTGAGGCTTTCCTCAAAGCTGTATTGTGTTTTAAAGCTGTAACAATAGATGTGAGGCTAATGACCATTTATAATGTCAATGACACTGAAATTTAGAAAAAAAAATGTATTTACCTGCTTGTCCTGAAGCATTAGTAACATTCCTCTTTTGTAAATTGTCATATAATTCCTTGTATAAAACCCCATAAGAATTAATCACCCCAAATAATATTCCATTACAAAAAAACGATGCTAACATAATAACCCATGCCCTAGAACCCCCGTCCGCCGGTTGTCTGGATAATTCTTGATATTTTCCATTTCCCATTGATCCATTCTGCTGATTTTTCTGGATATTTACCTCGAGCTTCTGGGGCACTAAACTTCTTTCAACTTTCTCAACCATGTCTTAACCTAACTTTTGTTTAGGATCCTCGCGCATCACCACGTTTTATTTGACAACAAAGCACGTGTTGTCCGGCGCACCGAATTATTGACTTATTATGCACCAAAATCCGCACTTGTATCAGAACCGGCTTCTTTCTGAATGGAGAGGGGAATGTATTAGATTACATGTTTACCATGTTGTCGATTTGGATTTAATTTCATAAGTTTTGGAGATATATGTGAGTGTCAGGTTGAGTTTGCATAATAACGTATTATTGATAAATACGGTCTTGTTTTCAGATTACATGGCTCATTTTCTCACGAATATTTCTTGCTTCCAATTTTAAAATTTCTGAAAATGGAAAGGCATCAATTAATTATATTTTAAGAGCCTGCTCGGTAGTAAAGTATCTAAAATGCCACAAGTCCATTCGTTTTCTTTGTTGTTTTAAATGTAAAATGGATAAAACAAAAAGTTATTATGTCAGGTGGCAATTTTGAATTTGTCAATTTGTTTAAAATTTGTATATTTTGATATATCAAACATTTTTATAAGTATTCCAAAAAAATGGTGAAACAATTTTAATAATCAAAAACTTTAATCCTAAACGTAGTTTCCTAATTTTTTGAAACACAAATCTATTTGCGAGGCTCTTGGAAAGAGGTACAATCAAATGACTGCAGAGGCTTTAAATATGTCGCATACTTAGTAAACCAACAAATTTTATTACAGAGTACCCAGACAACACACCAAATCCCAGAGATATCCACAGAATAACTTTTGTGGATATCCAATATATCCACAGGATATCAGAAATATCCCGTGGATCTAATATGGATATCCAAATGTCCGTTTATATCCAGAATATAGAAGATATCCTATGAATATCCAGCAAAATATCTAATGGGTATCTCCCAGACAATACAAGAAATCCCAGAGATATCTACAAAATATATTTTATGGATATCAGCAAAATATCTAATGGGTATCTCCCAGACAATACAAGAAATCCCAGAGATATCTACAGAATATATTTTATGGATATCCAATATATCCAGTGAATCTAATATGTATATCCAAATGTCCGTCTATATCCCAGGATATAGAAGATATTCTATGGATATTCAGCAAAATATTTTATGGGTATCTTTATTAGAGGTTCATAAGTAACCAATGATTATAAATAAATAATAAAGAAAATAGCAGAGAGAAAATATTTTCAACACTCTGCCTTTGATTTTGCACACTAAGGAGAAAGTCATCCTTATTAGGACTCTAAAATAGAAATTCTCGACTCCAGTCTCTAATGGAATCTGATTGCAATACCAATTTCGATCGAACTCAATTACGGCGGGTTGAGCATGAGTAGATATTCAACGAGCGAAAGTGGTATCGCCATCTATACTTAGTAAGCAAAATCAAAGGTCGCTGTAGTACCTAGTTCAGAGACTAGGTGGAATAAAAACCAGGCGGGCTCTTCTTATTAAAGGAAATAATTCTAGTCCTAATAAGGACGAAACCGGTCCAAGAATGACTTTCTTCTTAGTAGGCAAAATCAAAAATTACATCTAATGGCTATCCACCATGGTTTGCGTTCGCGCCTAGACTTTGACATATTTAGTGGATGTCCATGGGATATTGAATACAACCTAAAAAAATTAATTTTAAATATCTGAACGCTACTATTAACCATAATGGCGAGCACAATGGCGTAATTTTTTAATAATTTGCTATATAATTACTGTTATTTATATTTTTTCCTTGTAGTTCTTGGGTTTTTAGGTGTTGGTTGAGGAATGAAACTGGTGTATGTGGGTAGTAAAGTTTTCGGCACTGATCAGTGCCTTCTTCAGTAGTTTTTTTTTTTAATATTTGTATATTATTTTTACATACTCAAAATTGTTCTACAAGAAAAAAAATTTTTTTTTTTTTTTATACAGTTAATTTTTATTAATTATATTTTTGGCCTACCTTTAGTACACGTATTATTATGTAATTAATTTTTATCCTTGTCATGTCCCTTTTTGGTGCTGTAGTATCCGTTGAGATTGTATGGGTGTTGTTTTTCATTTGATTTTTATCCTGTTTTACAATCTGGAACGACGTAAATCTTGCTTTGGTGTTTTTTGTCACTCATATTACTTGTACTCACATACTTTTTTTCACATTATTTTGATTCTTTTTATCAATTTTTTAAAAAATCACTTCATTTTACATTGACTTACATAGAAAATTGACACCGCTGTCATTAGACATGCCAAGTACAGTCAATTTCGCGAACTTTATAAAAAGAAGGACGGAAATTTGAAATTTGACCATTGTCGATTCGCCTCCTTCTCTGTAGTCTTCATATCCATATCATTTGAATATGAGCTAATGTGCCAATAAAGATTATTACCGTTTAACAAAGACTTTACATGAATTCATATCAAATATTTTATATTTTACCGTACAATAGTTTGTGCTTTGGTGGTAATATACTATGTGAAATTGTAACCTTTTACCATATCTTGTGTCCATCACTTTTAATGAGAGGTTAAATTATCAAACATCGGTAAAACTGAAGTAATTGTTTGACAGTTCAAACTTCGAAACGACTACCTACATAATAAAAGTAATTTTAAAAACCGACTTCAAAATCGTGCAGATGCCATCACTAGATTTTGACCAAATATATATGGGACCATCCCTGAGGATCCCCCTTTCTAACAAAAAATGGAATCATAGAAATCGAACAAAGTGGTAAAGAATTATCGACGAATATACATAAAAAATGAAGAGGTTGAGAATTTTCTCATGGGTCCAATTATTAGATCTTGATCAAATTTATATGGGACAACCCCTAAAGTACCCCCTTTCTAACAAAAAAATTTGAAGTCGGATAACGTGGAAAAAAATTATCGCGTAACATATTCCGACGAATTGAAAACCTCTTCCTTTTTTTGAAGTCTGTTAAAAATGGTTACGACAGTAATGTCGATCCGAATTTTTATATAGATGAAATTTACTCAAAACAAAAAATGTTTACATTGACATTGTATGTAGGTACAATAATTGGACAAAAAATAGGAATTATTTATATTTCATAGCGAAATCAGTTTTTTATAGATTAACTGATACTCTCATGCGCCGTTAAAAAAACACTAATCTTGCACACTTAATAAAAAAATAACTGTTTTAATAATGAGGATACATTTAAGAGCTTATAAAAACAAAATTGAAATTCTGCTGTTAAATTGGTTTTTCCGAAGTTGTATCTGGCAACAGCGTATCGTACAATCATTCATAGTTTTGGTTTTGGTCGTCGCTCGTCGCCTAGGCGGACTACACTTTCAAGTGAGGCAGATTTTTAAATATTTAAATTTGGTGGAGTTGGTCGAAATTGGAGGAGTTATTTTTTATGATTGATTTATTAATGATGCGTATGAGGCTGACCAGTTTTTGTCAATTTTGGTGAAGGTGAGAGTTTTGAAATTTTAGGTGAAGTTATCGGGCAGTGGTATTTTATCTACGTATTAGGCATTCCAACGAGTGTTATTAGAAACTTCGCACGGCGCATCTGTACCCTATTCTAATGTATGTGCGATTGTCAAACAATAGCTGCCAGTTAAAAGGGCGCGTATATCTAAGTGGGCTACAACATATTCTTCCATATTGGACACTATTTGTATTCGAAATAGTAGTCGCGAACCCTGCCAGTACATGAAAAATGGAACTGTTTTTTAAAAATAATATTTCTGAGGCCATTCACAAAAAAATTTCGGTTCATCCTAACTACTTTAATATCAATTTTCTTAAAATCCGCTTATGCAATTCTTATGTGAAAATTTTAGGAATTCCAATTATTTCTAACGTCAACATTCCTAACATTCTCAACATTCCATAAATTGCAAACATTCTCTAACGACCTGTCAAACAACAGCTGTTGATAGTAAAGGTGAAATTTCTAAGGCGGGTTGCGACCTTTATACTTGCAACCACAGCCATTTTGAAGGCTATTTTTATTCGAAATTAGTCGTCAAGCTTGCCAATTTATGAAAAATATATAAGCAGTTTCTTAAAAATTACTTTTTTTTTATGGTGCTAAATTAAGCGTACTACTATTTGGCCCTTAGCCCCAAAAGCACCTTCATTAAATTTACTGGCTCTCTGTCGGAACTCCATAGAAAAATTAACCGGCTATTTTATTTGGCAAAAAGCAGAATAATGCTTGGCTGTGCCTGTCAAATATCAAGATGTCAACTGTGATGTGTGAATGGCTCTTAAATGTCAAATTATTTAAAAATGTATGCTTCTTTTGATATTTATTGCAAATAATTTGTAGTGTATCTCAATTCAGGCTTTCTATAACTAAAGGTACAGCAAGACAAATAATATAATGTTCTTATACAAAACACTTTTTTATTATACAGGGTGTCTGTAAAAGGTCTTTACAAAAACATACCACATATTCCTTAGACCAAAATAAGTCGATTTAAGTAAAATTACCTTAGTACAAAGTTGCTTCGTTTGGGCTCCAGAGGGCCTTGAAGTTACAATTTTTAAATCGTTTTTCCCATATAAATTTAAAACGGCATATGCGATTTTGCTGAAATTTGGTGTATTGGTAGAGTTTTAGGTGGCAAAAAAAAATGGTATTAAAATTTTGTCCGATAATAATACATAGGCGTAGGACTTGATTTTTTAAATAATTGCACCTTTAAAAATTCTACGCCAATGGAAGAAAAGGAAGTATAAAATTTAGATTTCGCAACTTATTTACTTTAAAAAAGGTACTCTTGATAAGACTCGATTAATCTCATGGTTTTGACGAAATTTGCATTTTAGTAATTTTAGAACATAAACAATAATTATTAAAATACAAACTTTGTCAAAACTATGAGAGTAAATCAAGTGTTATCGAGGGTACTTTTTTGTAGTAAATGAGTACCCAATCCAAATTTCATACTCAAACCCCTTTTTTGCCATTGCCGTAGAATTTTTAAAGGTGTAATTATTTAAAAAATCAAGTTCTACGCCTATGTATTATTATCGAACAAAATTTTATACGATGAAAAACATAAAAATGTACTTTTTTCATATCTTCTTCAACACCTCTAATCGAGACTTTTAACAAAAATACTCGATTCTTGCCATGTACGATTTTTTGAGGAATATTAATTATTTGCCTGCAATACGTATACAAAAACATTTATTGTTGGTTTCCATAGTTTCATCTAAATAAAAATATTGTCAAGTTTTAACACCTAATCTCTTGTTAACAATTGAAAGTATTCTATCTGACTCAATAATTACACAAATGCGTGGTTTATTATTATGGCTGTACAATATACCAATGCAGAATATACCGATAT